CTTTTAGCACGGTGTTGATAGATCAGTTTGTACATTTTTTAGCGTGTGCAGTGAGATAGCTCACGTTTTTATAAACGTAAACCTTTGATAGATTCGGCCCACAGTGTTTTAAAAATTACATTTCATTCAGTACAGCTCTCAAGACATTTCCATTTCTGCAGCAGTGATAAAATCAGCAATCATACATCTCATGTCTATTTTAATTCCAGTGTATGATACTGGAATTACTGGATTACTGAAATACTGGAGAAACATAAGACATTTTTTTTTTTTTTCATTTTATTCAACATTCAGCAGTCTAATGGCAGTGGGGAAGAAGCTGTTTTGGAATCTGTTGGATGCTTTGGAAAACACTGTTGAGAAAGAATAGAACAGATAAGAAAAATGTATAAAAAAAAAGAAAAAAAAAGAGGATGAGGTGCGGTGAGAATGCAAATTTCTAATTTAATGAAGAAACACTTGAGAAATGAAAAAAAAAAGATCCTAAGCAGCCAAGTTCTAAAAACATAGCATAACAAAAAAAAAAAAACCCATCAATTTAATGACAACAAATGACACAATTTAATAGATATGAAAATTTTTGTTACAATTTGTAATAGCTTAAGTAGAAATAAACTAATAAAACAAACAACTTACATCGCCCTGAAAACCCCACACTGTTACATGGTTGCTCGTAATGCAATAGGGAGGGTTTTCTTTCACAAGAACTGGAAAGCCGGTAAGAGATCATAGGAAGATGGTTAAATCATGTTAATGCAGGGCTATACTGTAAGAAACATTTAAAAGGCTGCAAACTGAGACATTTTAAATTTGAGGGCAACAAGGACAAAACAGAAACACTTTGTATTCAGATAAGGTGCCTAATTGTTGCTTTATGTTCCTGTTTTTTTAAGGATTATACTAAACTTTAAAGATCAGTCAGGGATCTAAATCAACCTGCAATTTTCTTTAAAGCAACTAAGTATTAGCCTTTCAAGAATATGCAATATGTTAGCAAATAGGTGCTATTTAATCCACCCTTATCATCATTTTACTACTCAGCACCATCAGTCTAAAGACTTATAAAAGTCACGAGTAGCCCCCAGGCTTAGAGCGCTGCAATTTATTGCTCTGTGACACCCTAGGCCTCCCCTATCAATTTACGCACAGCACAAGTTTAGGTCTCAGCAATTGGACATGTGCAGTCTGACTCTATGCTTTAGTGGCACAAAGGCAGTCACTGAGGACAGCTTATTCACAATATTTCCTCCCAGTTTTGACAAAGAAGTGAAGCTGGAATACCAGACACCTAGCTCTTCTCTTGCCTACATCTGGTAGAGTGGTAGAGTATCACTCAAAGCCATGAGTTTCTTGGTAAGCAGCTTTGCTGGAGTAGGATAACAGCTTAATTGGAAAGATCGTGCTTGATTGCAGCCTGTCACTCATATTTTACTCTATGCTCAGTTGTTTGTCTGCTCACTTTTCTAAAAGAACTTCTAGGCATGACTAACGCATAAATACAGTGTCTCTATGTGCTCCAGCCCTCAGTCTGGCATGGTGGGTGGGCATGTTTCTAAAATGCACTGGTGCACTTAAAGATAACAAGGACTTCCTTATGGCTGGTACTGGCTTATACCTGAGACTAACACACTCAGCTATTTTTTTGTACTATCTCGTAATATAGGATTCTATTGTGCATGTCTAAATCTATTTTTTTGCAGGAGAGAGCTACTCAGCTAAGCAAAAATAAAATAATTAGGGAAGTAAGAATCTTTCTGTGTGTAAACACATATGTGAGTCAGCATCACACTGCAGTTTTATGTGGCCAGGCAATAGTCCTAACTTCCCCTTGAATATCACAAAAGGACAGAGCTACTGCTTACAGCTGTCTGTTTTCAAATGTGCAAAATGTCAAGCTGACAGCGGATGTTGATTCAATTTTACAGGATGAAACATAGCCTACACTGAAGAACACAAATAACTGGAAGGCTCCTTAAAAAGGTGGCTGGAGATTTGAATGATTGGCAGAACCTATTAGAAAGTAGTGTGTAAAGTTACATCTCGATGCAGCCACCTCCGAGGATGAGGATCAAATACATGATACCCATTGCTTTCTTTGTGGCACTTGTTATCATTGAGAAGGAAAACAGGATCATCTCAAGGTGAGTCCATAGTCTTTTTGGTCAATTTATCTTGAAAAAAATTGCACTTCCATTTCATCCCTTTCTACCTCTATTTGACAGCTGTAAACAAACCATTTAATGCATGATTAAAAAATACTTTCATATATTGGGAAGAAATAAAATCTAGAGATGTATACATCTCCTGTCTACTTTAAGCCGGGCTTACACTTGTACGATTTTTTTGCTCTTTTCGGGCAGACTTTCCAGTTGTGTGAGAACTTTTCGATCGGGCTGACTTTCAGCCTGATGCGTCGTGCATCGTGTATTGTACAGGGGGTAACTAGGGGCGATCGTCCTCTCACAACCACCTCTTGATCAGGAGTTGTGAGGTCGGGAGAAAATTAAACATGTTTGAAATTCAGTTGGCCGTCGTGGGCAAATCACTCAGTGCAAATGCTCAAACAAGGATTCTTCTTCTTCTTAGATGAAAGAAGCTATGCGGGGATGCGAGTGAAATGGAGTTTTTTCTGTAAAATTGAGAGACAGTAGTAGTCACGTTTGCTCAGCCATGTCTTTGTCCAAATACTTTTTCGCCATTTCTTTTTAGGGCCTTTAGCACACAAAATTACACAAATTCCCAAGACAGTGCATTTCAGTCTAATGAGCTTCATATTCCTCCTCTACTTGTTTGGCTTCCGGATAGAGAAGTCCGAGTAGCACCATCTCACTGCGAAGCTGAGTCTGACGTGGTTTTTAGACGTGCAGTGTGAGCGGGTGGATCGCATCAGAGCGCCGGGTCAAACAAACAGATAACATACATATTGAGCTGTGAACTCACACTGTAAAACGAAACCGCAGGGTTTCGTTTTACAGTGTGAGCTGTAGCTGTATGCAATGATTAAAAAAGTCACATAGTGTATGCCCGGCATTTATTCATGTGTATGATACTTTGAGAAAGCTTTATTACCCCCTAATTCCCAATTGGGCCAGTTGACTTTCATAAGATTTTAGAGATTTCTCTCTGATGGATATTACTGTTAGAGTCATAAATCCACGGCAGCAAATAATGACTACAGGAAATAATTCTGAAGAATGTATGCATGGTTTATATAAAATGTCCTACAGTAGATGGCACCTTTTTATACTCATGTAAAAAAACTTCAAAGGGACGAAATGGCTAAGTGGCAATATTAATAGAACCCTTCTGTTTCTGTTCCAACAGACCAGATCAAATGAATGTAGCTGTAATATTTTTTTATACAGCACAGCTGTATTTTAACTTAAAAAATATGCTTTTCCATATTTCTCTAGGGTTTCAGATAAGCTGAACCTAAAGCAGACCCCTGAAACTCCTCTACATCCTGGTGTTTTCTCCCATTTAACACTGAAGCACAATGTTTCCTTCTCCTCACTCAGCAAAGGCTACCAGGTTGTGAAGCGACGCCTTGGAAACTACAGTGAACATCAAGAGATGATGAAGAAAAGAAAAAAACATGTTCTGCTCTTGGCCACCACCAGGACTGGATCCTCGTTCGTAGGCGAGTTTTTCAATCAGCAAGGCAGCAACATGTTTTATCTATTCGAGCCTTTGTGGCATGTGGAGAAGATGTTAACTTTAGACACTGGAGGTACCAATGCTACGGCGTCAGCAAAGGCGTACCGCGACGTTCTCCAGCAACTTTTCCTGTGCAACTTCTCGTTGCTTGAAAGCTTTATCGACCCACTCCCTGTAAACCATGTCACCACTAGCCTCTTCCGCAGGGAGTCCAGCGGCTCCCTGTGTGAGGAGTCTGTCTGCAGTCCTGTTGTTAAGGGGGTTTTTGAGCGCTACCGCTGCAAGACAAGACGCTGTGGGCCTCTGAACTTCACCATGGCATCAGAGTCTTGCTCTAAGAAAGATCACAGGGTCATTAAATCTGTAAGGGTGCGCCAGCTGGAGAACCTCCGTCCACTTGCTGAGGATCCACGTCTTGACATCAGATTCATTCAGCTTGTTCGGGATCCTCGGGCAGTGCTGGCCTCCCGTATGGTCGCATTTGCTGCCAAATACAAGAGCTGGAAGGAGTGGGCCATGGGTGGCGACGTTCCCATCGATGAGGATGAGGTGAGGAAGCTGAAAGGCAACTGTGACAACATCCGCCTGTCTGCGGAAGTTGGCCTCAGGCAGCCCCCTTGGCTGCTCAATAGGTACCTGTTGGTGCGATATGAGGACATTGCTCGCTTTCCCATGAGGAAGGCAATTGAGATGTTCAGGTTTTCTGGAATTCCTCTCACTCCACAGGTGAAAGCCTGGATCCTAAAGAACACTCAGGTTTCTAAGGAGACCAGCGGGGTTTACTCTACCCAGAAGAACTCCTCTGAACAGGTGGAGAAATGGAGGTTCAATCTACCGTTCAAGATAGCTCAGATTGTGCAAAGAGCTTGTGGACCAACACTTAAGCTATTTGGATACAAGTTTGTGAGCAGTGAAAAGATGCTTACAGACAAATCCATTAGTCTCATTGAAGATAAAGTCTTCAGGGTTAAATAGAACAAAATGGAGGAAAAAATATATAGTTTATTAACTTATTTTCTTTAAATGAGACTTGATGAAATTATCATCAGTTATAGTTTTATAATGATATTGTACAGATGTCATATTTCAGTAAATTTGAATACAGAGCAGGTTTTAGCTGATTTTAACGATGGCAAAACTCAAACTGGAAATGTTGAAATCGATGAGTTGCACAAAAGAAAAAAAAATTAGTGGATATCAATCATCTACATCTTGCAATGTCACTTTTAATGTCTGTGTATTTTAAGTATTTTATTTATTGTCTATGTTTGGAGTTTAAGTGTTGCTTTTTTTTATTGACCTTAGTTCTCCTGTTTGGTAATCTCGTTTGGCTGTAAAGTTCCACTTACTACCTAATCTGTTGTTATTCCAATTTCTACCTTTCATTGTCAAATTTGGGTTCCTCTTTTTGTGTTAATGTAAGTTATGTTAGCCTCTTTTAAAGCATCCTCTTTCATAACTTTAATGGCATTAATTAGGCTCACTTATTGATTTTCCCTGTAATTACTTTCCCTTTTAGTTACATTATTCCATCCTTCAATCTTTCATTGCAAGTGTTCACTGTTGTTTTCTCTTCAAGCTACTTACTTCCTCGCTTGTTTCTTTTCGTCACCATTAGAATATTAATTTCTTCTTTCAATTCCTTAATTGATATTGAAGCTGCCCATATTCCTGGAGTTTTTTAAGCAAAACAACTTCTCTGTTTTTGTGCTATAGTTTGGGTGGTGGAGGACTTATAAAACCATGCCATAAACTCATCCAAAATTTGCCAGGACAATTGAGATCTGGGAAAAAAAAAAAAAAAAAAAAAAAAAAAAAGAAAACAAAAAATGGCAGCAGGATTCTTTAATGTCATTGCACAAAACGAAGCCTGATACAATACTTCATAGTACTTCTCTGCTTTTGCTGAGTAAGAAACACATTTAGTTACAGCTAATGTGGTTTAAACAACATAATGTGGAGCAGTAACTTTGAAGTTGTTTAGCTGGGAAACTGCAGGTCTCCAGTTAAAGTGTAGATGGTTGATATCAACTAAAACATTACATCCTGTTGGAATAATTATTTATTTTCTTTCAGTTTTCTTTCAAAATGCGAAGTTCAACTAGAACAGATAAATCCCTCCACTGATTGGTTTGAACTATTTGTAGATACTGTTATACCTTCTGTTCACTGAGGCTGTATATGATGTTTTAAAGGTGCAGAAAACTAAGTGTTGTATTTATTTTCTAACATGTTTTATGTGCTTTTAAAAAAATCTTTATTAGTTCATAACTTTATAGATAACCTCACTAGAACCTTACATAAAACAATCTGTAATATTCCTGGAAAACCTTTTTGCATCAATGATTTTTATTGTGGTCAGTCAACATAAAGCAAATGTAGATTGTCTTCATATTTAAAAAACATTTGAAACAGTTAAACCAAAAGTTATTTTATTTATTACAAAACTCTATCACACTCAAAGCTGGATTACTGTTTTCTTTTTTTAATGCACTCCAAACTATTGTGTCCATGTAAAAAAAAAAAGTACTGCAAACTGTTGTCTTTGTATTTGATAAAACTCCAAATTTGATAGCTATGGTTTTCTGAACATGTCTTTGTGGGGTTGTTTCTTTAGATGCTGTAGAGTTATTGCTTCAAAGACACTCAAAATCAAACTTTATTTAAATAACAATGATCTTTAAAAATTGAGAGAAAATAATTGTGTCTTTATCTTTTGACTTAAGCAAGTATTATCTCTTGCAAAAGATTTAATGTTTCTTTTTCAAAATTTCTGAATGTGTTTTCTTTTCACCTTATTTAATAAATCTGTATTTAAAGTTGTTAAAGATAAATTTGCTATTTTGCTGTAATATTTTTTAAATATTCTTTAGGTGGAAAGGAACACCTGAAACAGATGTTGCTACTCTACTGTAAGCTAACATTCCAACTGCAGCTGGTTTGCAGGATTGTGCAAGATTTGTCGACAGGTCTGTGGCTGTTGACACAAGTCTCTTGGCAGGTGTTGATAAGGGGCCGCAGTATCATGGTCTCTATGATCAGATGTTTGTTGCAATAAATTTCAATAATAAATCATTTGTAAATGTCAGTTTTGTAAAAAAGAAAAAAGGAAACAGGTGGAAAAGAAACTGCAAGCAAATCTGGGAAAGTCTATAGATTTTTTCCATCTTCTAATCCGCAGTCTTTAAGTCTGATCAGTCCATTTTAAAGAACTATTAATTCAGTATTTTTGCTCAACAGCTGCAAAGTGAGCATCTTTCCCCTGGATTAAGTAAGCTGTAACATTTCTTTATTAAAAACATTGTTATAATTTAATTTCTATAGAAATATGCATGAGTTTTACCCTTTTAAATTAAAAATTATTTAAGTAAAATGTTATCTAATGGTGCTTTTCTAATTTCCTTAGATGCACCTATTGCTTATCCTAAAATTATTATGAGTTTGGTGTTTAAAAATAAAAGTAGCTGTGGTGTGAAAGTGGGTTGCAAAGGTAGAATTGAGTCCAGAATAGCAAAAGTAAAACAGGAAAAACGAATGAATGGCTCATTTACTGAAAAAAATGAGAAGCTATGGCTGTAAAAGCCCTTTTTTCATGATTTGTTTTTAGCATTGTCTGATTTTATTGCCATGTTTATCTATGTTGGTCTAACCTGTCCCAAGTCTGGGTGTAGATGCATGCTGTTCAGTGTGGACCAAGATTTTTTGTTTGTTTTAATTGGCTTTAGCTACTGAACAAACACTAAAAAGTTAAAACATCCTTATACATTTATTTAACGTTGGACCTTTTATATAAAACTTTATATGTCCTCTTGTGGGGGAATGACCAAAGTCAGAGAAATTCCTCCCCATGTGATCACCACTCCAGTAGTTTCCAACCTTTTTAAAGATTCAAACACCACAACCACAAGTCAGGCATTAAGATACTATTTAAAAATACCGAATCAAACAAAATTAAAAGAAACAGCAACAAGTGTTGAGATATACCAAAATCAACAAATATGCTACAGTGAAAGGGATGGTTTTTAATTCTTCTTCCTCTTTAATCCTGTAGAAAAACAAATGTTAGAGCATTCAGCACCAAGCTGGTAGGAAACTGCAGACAGCTTCCCTCGCTGCCAGTGTGTTTACCACTGTGGGCCCAGCTATTTAAATCTTCTAACCTAGTAATTACCCCAACTTTACATATAGTGTGGTCTAAGCCATTTTGGTCCACCTGACCCCACCCGCTCACAGAACTGCAACATTTATGCAGTCTTTCTCTAACTCTAATCCTGCTTTTCCTCTTATTACACCAGAAAATTATATATTTGACTTAAAAATCAGGCATTTATTCACAGCAGAGCTGTACAACTTCACAGCACTTTAAGAGTTTAACTCAGAATAACTAGATCATTGTCTAAATGCAGTGTTTTACCTTTTTTTTTTTTTCAAGGAAAAAAATTATTTTAGGTTTTCTGTATAAGCAAACCTTGCAAGAAGAGGTTCAGCATTCATAAACTTCTTTGCTGGTGTGACTTCATGTGGGATGTGTTGAGGGTGGGGTGGTTGCTTGGTTGGAGCAAATATAGAATAACCACTTTCCACTGAATTGAAGCCTTCTCAGCCCCCCTCCTCAGCCATTAAATGAGAGCATTGAGGTAGACCACACCCTCCTACTTTTTTGTACTGCTCTGAGCAGCATCAGCTGTGAGTAGCTTGAAATATGCAGTACGGAAATTGAGTTCCAGCATTCTCAGAGATGCATATAAAATTCATGGTGCTGTGGAAGATAATGATGGCTGAGGAGAGGAGATAATTCTAAATACAAAGCAAATTATCACATTGTGAGGAATGCACTTCATAAAACTCAAGTTGTTGCATGCGATAATGAGTGACTGAGCTAAATGCAGGAAGGGAAATGAACACGCCAGACTCACAGCACAGAACTAAAATGACTGAAGAAAAATGTTGCCATTTTATATTCTGAATGTAAGGTTTTGTTTTATTTAACTCTTTTATGGCATTTTTTCAACCCATAACAAACCTCTGTTTAGACAGTTGCCTGTGTTTTGGCAGTTCTTTGATTCATTTATATGTAGAGAGCAATTCCTGGCTTCTGTCACACTCCAGGAAAAAAACATACAAACAAAACCTGTGGTGTATGAGGCAGTACACTGCTGATGTACCAGATGTCTGTAAATATGAACTTTTTTTTTTACACAGTTTTTAAAAGCAAAAAAATAAAATAAAACTTGTAACAGTATTCAGACCCCTTGAATTTTGGAGTGCTAAAACCTCAAATTTCAGTTTATTGTATGCGATAAACCAACACAAGTAGTGTCAAAATATTTGCAAAAAAAAAAAAAAAAAATGTGTTTACATTTGTGTACATCATTCAGTATTTTTAATGCTAACATTTTACATTTAGACCCAATGTTC